AGCAGTTCCGCGGGAGACAAATGAGGCTTTCTGCTTGCGTAAAGATTTACAGCCTCGGAAACCCAGTACAAGGTCGCTGTGAATCAGAACCGACTCCAAGGCACATAACCATCACATAACGCTGTGTGTGTGTTGTTGTTAGGTGCCATCGAGTCGGCACCGACTCATAGCGACCCTATGCACAGCAGAACAAAACAATGTCCCATCCTGGGCCAACCTCACTACTGTTGCCTCACTTGAGTCCATCGATGCTGCCACCTGGCCAATCCATCTCATAGGGGTCTTCCTCTTTCCCTCTGACCCTTCATCTTACCAAGCATGATATCCTTCTCTAGTGACTGTTCCCTTCTGACAAAATGTCCAAAGTATGAGAGATGAAGTTTGGCCAGCTTGGTCTCTAAGGAACACTCTGGCTGCACTTCTTCCAAAACAGATCTATTGGTTCTTTTGGCAGCCTATGGCACTTTTAGTATTCTACTCAAACACCATAATTCAAAGGCATCAATTCTTCTACAATATTCCTTATTCACTGTCCAGCTTTCACATCCATAGGGGTTATTGAAAATACCACGGCTTGGGTCAGGCGCACCTTAGTCCTCAAGCTGACATCTTTGCTCTTCAACACTTTAAAAAGTTTCTGTGCAGCAATACGTCACCTGATCTCTTGACTGCTGTTTCCGCGAGTGTTGACAGTTGATCCAAGAAGAATGAAGTCCTTGACAACTTCAATCTTTTCTCCGTTGATGAGAATGTGGTTTACTGGTCCAGTGGTGAGGATTTTTGTTTCTTTACATTAAGATGTAATCCATAACAAAGGCTGTGCTCTTTGATCTTCATCAGTAAATGTTTTAAGTCCCCTTCAAATTCAGCAAACAAGTTGTGTCACCTGCATATCGCAGGTTGTTAATGAGTCTTCGTCTAATCCTGATGCAACGTTTTTCTTCATAGAACCCAGCTTCTCGTATTATTTGTTCAGCATATAGGTTGAGTAAGTATGGTGAAAGAATACAACCTTGTCGCACACCTTTCCCAATTTTAAAACATTCAGTGTTCTGTTCAAACAACTGCTTCTTGGTCCAGGTACAGATTCCTCATGAGTACAATGAAGTGTTCTGGAATACTCATACTTCGCAATGTTGTCCATAGCTTGTCACGATCCATACAATCGAAAGCCTTTGTGTAGTCAATAAAGCACAGGTAAACATCTTTCTGATATTCTCTGCTTTCAGTCAAGATCCATCAGACATCAGCAATGATATCTCTCGTTCCTCAGCCTCTTCTGAATCCAGCTTGTTTCTGTATTACCTTTAGTAAAACTTTACTTGCTTGAGATATCAAAGAGATTTTTTATGATTTCCGCATTCCATTGGGAATGGGCACAAATAGGGATCTCTTTCAATCAGTTGGCCAGATAGTTGTCTTCCAAATTTCTTGGCAGAGACGAGTGGATGCCTCCTGTGCTGCCTCACTTTCTTGAAAGATTTCAATTTTTATTCTATCAATTCCTGGTCTTGTTCTTTGCCAATTCCTTCAATGCATCTTGAACTTCCTCCCTGAGTATCACTGGCTCTTGATCATATGCTACCTCTTGAAACAGCTGAACATTAACCATTTCCTTTTGGTACAGTGAGTCTGTGTATTCCTTCCATCTTCTCTTGATGCTTTCTGCATCATTCAATAATTTGTCCAGAGAAACTTTCACTAACGAAAGTCCAGGCTTGAATTTTCTCTTCGGTTCCCCCAGCTTGAGAAATGCTGAGTGTGTTCTTCCTTTTTGGTTTTCTGATTCCAAATTTTTGCACATTTTATTATAATATTTGGCTTTATCTTCTCTAGCTGATCTTGAAATTTTCTGCTCAGCTATTGGACCTCCTCATTTCTTCTATTTGTGTAGCATCTCTACACTGGAGAGCAAGTTTCAGTGTCTCTTCTGACATCCATTTTGACCTTTTCCTTCTCTCTTATCTTCTCAATGACTTTTTGCTCTCTTCACGTATGATGTTCTTGATGTCATCCCAAAACTCTTCTGGTCTTCGGTCTTTAGTGTTTAATGTATCAAATCTGTTCTTTAGATGATCTCTAAATTCATGTGGGATACATTCAAAGTCATATTATGTAGTCAATTTGATTTCTATGTGTTCCATCTGGCGAGATCCATGTATATAGTTGGCTGGTATACTGTATAAAGAAGGTATTTGAAATGAACAAATCATTGTTTTGCAGAATTCTATCATGTGTTCTCCAGCGAGGCCGTATTTTCCAACTACTGTCCTTCCTCTTTGCTCCCAACCTTTGCACTCCAATCACCAGTAATGAGCAATACATCTTGATTGCATGTTTTATCGATTTCAGATTGAAGAAGTTGGTAGAATTCTTCTATTTCATCCTCACTGGCTTTAGAGGTTGGTGCATAAATTTGAATAATAGTGCTATTAACTGGGCTTCCCTGTAGGCACATGGATATTATCCTATCAAAGACAGCACTGTACCTCATGACTGATCTGGATATGTTATTTTTGATTCCTCTTCATCATTCCCGGCATAGTAAACCATGTGGTTGTCAGATTCAAAATGGCCAATACTAGTCCATTTCAGCTCACTAATGCCTAAGATATCGATGTTGATGAATTCCATTTCATTTTTGACAACTTCTAATTTTCCCAGATTCATACTTCGTACAATCCATGTTCCGATTTTCAATGGATGTTTACAGCTGTTTCTCTTCATTTTGAGTTGTGCCCCGTCAGCAAATGAAGGTTCTTTGGGCTTTTTTCCCACGAGCTTAACTCCATTCACGTCATCATGGTCAACTCTACTTTGAGGAGGCATCTCTTCCCCAGTCGCATTTTGAGTGCCTTCCAACCTGAGGGGCTCATTTTCCAGCACTGTATCTGACTGACAGTGTCTCTCTGCTATTCATAAGTTTTTCAGTGACTAACGATTCAGAAGTAGTTCATCACTTTTTCCTCCTAGTCTGTTTTTTTCTGGAAGCTCATCTGAAACCTGTCCACCATGGGTGACCCTTCTGGTTATTTAAAATACTGGTGGTACAGCCCTCAGAATCACAGCAACTCAAGCCACCACAGCATGACAGACAGATAGACAGACGAGTGGTGGCCGTTTGGTTTTATGGAGAAAGAGAGGGAGGGAGGGACGGAGAAGGAGAGCGAGAGAGTGAGAGAGCAAGAGAGTGAGAGAGCAAGAGAGTGAGAGAGCAAGAGAGAGAGAAACATATAAACTACTGGTGTGGCTGTGGCGCTGTAGGATCAGCGCCTGTGAACCACAAGGTCAGCAGTTCAAACCTACCAATTGTTGGCAAGGATATGAAGCAACTACAACCTTCATAAACTGCTTTTAAGATTACAAAAAGGTACAACCATTTGGAAAACAGTTTGGCAGTTTCTTTAAAAAGTCAACATAGACTATTCTATGATCCAACCTTTTCACTCTTAGGTATTTACTCAAAAGGAAAAGAAAAGATTATTCCACACAAAGACATTATTTACCAAAATCAGGTACAATTAAGGTGACCATCGACAGGTTACTGGATAAAACAGATCATAGCATATCCAATGATATGCAGTCAGCAACAAAGGACTGAACTATTGAAATAAGGTTCTATAGCCAGAATATAATTCCAGGGCACAACAGTAATGGTGGTAGTTGTAAAAGGAAATGGCTACTGTTTTCTCCACTAGCTAGCGCTATATATGTTGGCATTTAAAATCCAAAAGGTAGAACAGGTTTGGTGTAAACTCCATTCAATCATAATCGTACAGTCTACTTTTTTTTTTAAATGCTGATACTGTTCTGAGTTCTACATGTATCCCTTCATAAATATAACAGCAGATACAAACATATTTACCAAAATAGAAACTCTAAGAGCATAAGATCATCATCTATTTGCTCCACTGATGCATCCCCATTACCTAGAACAATGTCAGACTCATTGCTAAGCTACCAATCCTTTTCCTCTAGGCAGATTGATCCCTAAAAAAAAATGTAATAGCTTTTCATTTAAAGTACCACTACTGCTGATTACAAATGAAAGAATTAGAAAACAATCACACACAAAAGCACAGACACAGAGTCCACTTTATAAAAATGTCTTTCCAGTTCCCTTTCTAAATAATCTCTAATGAGATTATTTCAGGAAGGGCATATTGATATATACTTTCAAAAGCAAGAATGTGTTATTCCTCCTTCAGAAAAGTAAAAAAAGAAAACAATACCCAATATGAGAGAATGACAGTAAAAGAGGGAAAATGAAATCACCCACAGAGGAGAGAGAGTAAAGGGGCACGCACGCACACACACACATATATAAATACAGCATGTACCTGAATTACTATATATTTTAAAAGTGCTTCCAAAAAGTAGCTTGTGAGATCCTCTTGTCCTTTATCCCCTGATTGTGGGGGAACAAGAGGAGTGATTTCCTCTATAGTGACTTGAGCTATCCAAAGAAAAAAAGAAAAGCTTAGTATAATTATGAAACAAAATAATACAATATAGCATGATTCAAATAAAACTTAACTGAAAAACATGTATACTATACACTTGAAAACTTTAAATGATTGAATCTCGACATATATCTGAAGTCATCCCTGATTGTTTATCATAATTTAATAAGTTAAGCTGTTTCATGAGCCTTTGATTGAGAGGATATGAAATATTAATGAATAGACAGACATGCGGTATAAGGGCATATAACATCTTACTTGAGAAATAACTTTCATTTCATGGTAAGCATTATTACCAAAAATCCACATGAAATAAAATGAGAAACATTAGCAATACTGTACTTATTCACTAATTAAAGTGATAATCTCATTGCTCTAAGACATGATTGTGCTTATTCTTGGAGGCATCACTGTTATTCAGAGGAAAATATACTATTACTCTCAAGAAAAAAAAAAGGACAAGTTTAGAATCTCAATTATTTGATTACAAAAGACCACTTTTACATACATGTTTTTATATACATGTTTTACTTTTTTATATACATGTTTTACACAAGGAACTTTTACATGTTTTACTTTTAAATACTCAAGAATATTCACTGTAAAAAATGCGAATGCTGGGAAATCAACCCATACAGAGCTGGCTTCTCTTAAACATTTCTTAAGCAGCATAATTAGTACCTGATTTAACACAGGCAAATTTCCAAACCTGCCTCTCAGTCAGTATCAGCCAGGTAAACTGACAACAGAGATAGATTTCAGTATTTAATTAATGCATGTTAAGTACATATTAGGAGTCCTGGTGTGGCACTGTGGGCTAATGCGTCAGAATGCAAAGTCATTTGAACCGCAAGATTGGTGGTTCAAGCTCACTAGCTGCTCCTTGGAAACCCTATGGTCGGAATCGACTCAACGGCACTTAAGAACAACAACATGTACATATAAAAGGATTGGGCAGTGTTTTGCTCTATTGGATGAGTAGGAACCAACTCTATAACACTTAACAACAACAACAACGTATTAATTTTATACTTTTTATTACTCTTCCCTAACACTTTTTTTTAATTACTCTTTAAGGACATAGCTTTTATCATCTGTAACCTGGATTTCCTGGACTATTTTTCCCCACAGAAGAATAAACATAATAAATACTTTATTGTGTGAAGCCAAAAAATCTCTTTAAAACCTACTGGAACTCTTCTAAAAGAGCTTCTTAAACTTTCTTGGGTTGTACATAATTTTTATTTTCCATGCCTTGTAGACTACAGAGAAAAACTTCTATTTTCAAAAAGGAAGGGGTTAGTAAGTCCCAAATTCATTGAAGACTAACAGTTAAAGTGTTAGCAACCATAAAAAGAGTGATAAAAGAAAATATACTGACAACCTACAGAAACACAAGAAAAAAAGTTTGAAAACACAAGAAAATAATTTAAAATTATATGAAGTATGAACAAGTCAACTTACATAGTTTAAATAAGTTGGTTTACTTATAGATGTCATGTAAGATTGGTATATGGTTTCTAAAATTTAGTGCTATAGTCACAGTTCATTTACCCTAAAACTTAAATTTGTAGAAATACAGATAACAAATTAGATGAAATACCCAGGAGAATACTACATATTACAAATGTTTGCTCATATAAGAATATATAAAGTATTTTTTAAAATGCACATACATATTTTAACAATGGCAAATCAATTTAAGTTATATACTTATTAAGTACTGATAACAGAGACAACTAAATAAGTAAAAGGAAAATAGGATTAGAAAATTTTAGGATAAAAAGCATGAAGGTTAAATAACAAAAGTAAAAATTAAGTGAAAACATTTGAGATGTTAAAAAAAATTTATTGAGGATTCATAAAAATACAATGTATTTATAAACTTTTAGTTCTCTATTGAAAAAAATAAAACACACTTATACTTCAATGTGCTTCCAAATTAAATACGCAAGATAGACATTAAAAAAAACAGAAATTAAATATAACTATAAAAATGACCTTGACAATATTAACAGACTACAAAAAAATACTTAAAACACTGGTGAAAAACATCTGACGAATCTTACTTTCTTGAAGGTTGAGTGGAGGATTGATGAGATTTTCTAAAGTTCGAGGTCCATGTTCAGATTGTGGTGCTGAAAATCCAGGTATTAAACATGAAAACATCCACAGCTGTTCTTTACTGCAGTTATTCTGAAGTGCTTGTAACCATAATAAGAAAAGACGGACACCTTCACGTCTGATCTAAAACCAAAATTTTTTTAAAAAGTATTTTTACTTATAATGGAAATACTTTTGTCCTTTTAAAGCCAAAATTCTCTAAAAGATAACTGTAGTATGACACTTTGCAACAATAGAGAAAGTAAAGGAGTAGAGAAAAGGAGACAGAGGCAAGTAGACAGTAAGGGAGGCAGGCAAGCAGACAGAGCATAGCATCTATACCTACCCCTCATTAATTGGAAATATAAACTTATAGGTTTTATTTATGCTACAAAAATCATAGAAACCTTTTTAACAAAAAATATCAAAATGGAAAGGTATTGTTTTTAGACATAACCTCCACCTACATCTATGCATTCTGAAGAGTGTGTTTCCATATCTCTAACCTCTTCAGTTTATGCCACATCAAAATGGCAGTTTAGGCATTCTTAAGGAACTCACATATCATGTCCCTTTGAAATATCTTTTTTTTTTTTAAGTTTTTATTGTGAATTAAGTGAAAGTTTACAGGACATACCATCAGTTTTACATTCAACAAATCATAAACTTTGTTTCATTACAATGATTATAATCCTCTCCATATACCATCAGTTATCACTTAACAATATTTTTCTCTATTCATTTTAGTTCTTTTTTTTAAACACTCTCGCATATATAATAATTTACACCACCATTCTGCAAGTCTGCCTCCTGACCGCCAGCTCTCAGTCCCTCTCTTCCCATGAATCTAGAGTCCTCAGCTGCTTCCTCTCTCCACATTCCCATCTCTGCCTCCATCTCTGGTGTCACTGCTTCTCTGGATAAGGTCCCGCATTCTTCTTGTGCTCTTTTCCCTTGATTGTTCTAGGGTCTTCTGTATCTGTACTATAAGATTAATTATTCCCCCGTTTTTGTTACAAAACTTCTACCTTTTCAACTATGACAGTCGTAATCAGTCATGATAACAATTACTCACTACTGAATCTTAAGAATCTTTTGTCCAACTCTTTTTACCAAACCCATCTAGACAAGATGAAAACTATTCAGTAGGGACTCAATCATCCCCCACACACTCTTAAACTAAACTCCCTCTTGAAAGCTTGTAAGCCAGTCACTTCTTGCCTTTATCACCCCTCATTTTAGGTAGCCAATGTCTAAGTTGCCCGTCCCTATCTACCATGTAAATAGAGGGGATAGCATTGATAGTTGATGTGAAGACTCCTTCCCACTCTGTTGGTTTTTGAGCTACTACCTCTATGAATATAGGTCAAGTTCTTCAAATTGTAGCAATTTAAACTCGTTTTCTTTATCAAAAATTGTTGTCTTTTTTATCTTCCTCTAGTCGAGTTCTGGTTATCAAGCCATCGAGGCTAGGTCCAATAGGTACTATCTGCAAGTTTGGATGTTCTTGCGAGTCTCCCCTCACTTCATATCAGCTGGATGCTGCACTCTCAGCTCTAGTCCTCTGTGGCTATGTTCTTGTCCATGGGCTTAGGTGTACCCCGGTCTCACCACACTTTGGACCAACTAGCCCTTCCTCTCTCTTCTCTCTCATCTTCAGGTCCACGGGAACTTACAAGTTTTTAACAAGTAAAGAATGAAGAATTTTTATTTCATAATTTCCACGTAAGAAAACAAAACAAATTCAGAAAGCCATTACTTTCTTCTGTCTACCCTTACTACCAGGCCAATTCAAGAGGAAAGAAGATACACAGTAAGGACTGTCCCATGCTGCTTGATGAAGGAAAAAATTTTATGAAGATTCTAGAGCATTATGAAATTATCTATTTACAAATTATCTGCTTTTAAGCTGCAAATTCGAGATAGTGGCTAATTACTATATGTTATTGTTGTTGTTAAGTGCCGTCTAGTCGGTTCCGACCCATAGCAACCCTGTACAGGGTTTCCGAGGCTGTAAATCTTTATGAGAGCAGAAAGCCTCATCTTTCTCCCGCGGAGCGGCTGATAGTTTTGAACTGCTGATCTTAAGGTTTGCAGCCTGATTCATAACCACTATGCTACCAGAGCTCCTTAATTACTATATGGGGAGTAGGGGGTAAAAAAATACATGGAAAAAAATAGAAATGAAAGACACTATTTTTCCTTGGACTTTTTTAAGTCCCCTCATATTCCAAGAACCTAGAACAATGCTGTAAACACAGACAATAAATATTTGAAACAGTGAAAAAATGCTGTCTCAGGAAGAAAACTTTGGGAAAAGATGGACAGAGAAAACTTCAATTTCTTTACAAATAAAACTAAGGTCTTTACTAACTTAACTTCACTAGTAACTTTAAAAACTATCCTACCAGAGCTTTGCTAATGACCACCATCAAAGCTATTCAATAGCTGCTACCCTCCTATGCCAGATAACAAGCCACTCTCATCTACCAGATAACATGAAAGATATGAGGGGGATTGATCCTTTGTACTACTGTATCCATGCCAGAAATATCTACAATATAATTAGACCTAACATATTTAAAAAAAAAAAAAGCCAAACCCCCAATTGAATATAATTCATAGTTACCCTCTATAGGGTATCTGAGACTATAAATCTTTATGAGAGCAGACACCCTCATCTTTTTCCCACAGAATCGCTAGTGGATTTGAACAACCAACCTTGCAGTTAGCAGTCCAATGCTTATCCTACAGCATCATTACCTATGCTGTTGTCATTAAGTCCCATCAAGTTGGTTCTGACTCACAGCTACCCTACAAAGGGTAGCTGAAGAGGGTTTAGTAGCTTTGAATTACACACCTTGTGGTTAGCAGCCCAATGCTTATCCTATAGCACCACACCAGAACCCTTCCTTACTTAAAGCAAGATACTATTTTAAAAGGTAGTGTCTCTTAGCACAGCACAGAGATAATGGGAAAAATGAAAGGAAAAAAACCTAACATTTTCATAAGACTCCCTACTGTCTTCTACATTTAAGAATGGAGTCCTGGTGTGGTGCTCTAGGGTAAGCACTAGAATGCAAGGCTGGTTTGAACTGCAAGGTCTGCAGTTCAAATCCATCAGTCACTCCTTGGAAACCCTACACAAAGTTGCTATGAGTTGGAACCTACTCCATGGCACTTAACAACAGCAAATTGAAGAACAATTTTGTTGCATGACTAAATTTTTTATTCTTCTGGGTACCACACTAAAGAAAGCACTTCTAATGAACCAACCAATGCAGTGGCAAAGTACAATAGTTTGCTATACCTAGTCTACCTAATAAGTATTTCTCTACATACTGAGTATGTTGCACTATTCTTAATTCACTTCAATAATTGGACTAAAGACAATTCAGCATTTTTGATGGAATAGCTAAAGTAGGAGAAAGTTAAACAGGAGGTACATATGTTTTACTCAGTTTTTAAATAGTCATAGAAACGAAATATAATCATATCATACCTTCAAGGAGTTTCCTGTGTGAAGTAGCTTCTTTAAAATCAATCCTGAAAAGAAAACATAATTTAAAATACTGATGTCTTCTTATTTATTAATGTATGTCAGAGTTCTCGGTCAGACTTGAAAGCACTTTTAAGCAAGTCCTTGGCAACCTCCAAATTATTCTTGGTGATCTTGATACCCTATGGTCATAGACTTGAGACCAGAGGGCATAGAAAAATAATCACCTTTGCATCATATGCTTTACTGTAATTAAATATAACTTATTATACTGATGTGGCACTGTGGAGTAATGCATCAGACTGCAAAGTCATTTGACCTGCAAGGTCGGTGGTTCAAGCTCACCAGCTTCTCCTTGGAAACCCTATACAGGTTCGTTATGACTCGATGGCCTCTACAACAACAATGAAAACATTATACTGAAATGTAAAACCTAAGCCCAAAACTGCAGTTAACACAAAATCTACTGTTTGTCTTTGGTTTAGATTAAGAATGTAATTAAGCAAAATACTTTCTCTATTACAAATCAAAATAAAATCCACTGGATGAACATCATCCATATAACTAATATTTCCTACCAAAAATTTCCCTTACATTAAATTTCCTTTCTAAAACTTTCAAAACATCTCTAATATTCATGTTTGCTTTTAAATTATAAAATATTTCAAACATACAATATTGAAAATAACATTAACAAAAATTCAGAAACCCGTCATTCAACTTTAACAAACCGAAACATTTTCTGTCTGTTCCAATTTTAAATTTTTACTTATTTACATTATCTGTAATGTTTTACTTAATAGAATAGGTTATTACTGGAGCTCCCAGTGAACATCTTGAATCAGTTTCAGCTCTCTCTCCTTCCTTCCCCAGAGGAAACCGATATCTAGATTTTGGTATTAATCATTTTCAAAACGATACTTATATTATTACTACTACTTATTTACAAATCCATAAAATATTTCAATTGCTTTGCAAGTTTAAAACCTTATGTAGGGCCCTTGCAGCAAGAATCATTCCCACCCCTCCTACACACAGAGCAGACAGGGATGGGCAACTTGGACACTGGCTACCCAAAAAGGGGGGTAAGGAGGCTACAAAGGCAAGAAGTGACTGGCTTACAAGCTTTCAAGAGGGAACCTAGAACCAGAGGTACCTGGAGAAAGGTAGACTCTCCAGTGAGTAGTATTCAATCTGTCTAGGTGGCGCTGATGCAATAAAATCCAGATAGGTCTCTTGTGATACAATAGTGAATAATTGTTATCAGGACTGACTGTGAGGGTTGGAAATGTAAAGGTAGACGTTTTATAGCAAGGAGGGGAGTGATTAACTTTTCAGTCTAGGAGCGGAGGTCCCTGGGACCGTCAAGGGAGAGGAGCAGAGAGCGGGACCCTACCCAGAGAAGCAATGATGCCTGAAATGGAGCCAAAGATGGTGATGTGGAGCGATGGAGCAGCTGGAGACTTTAGATCCAGAGAGGGAGAGCGACTGTGTGCTGAAGACCTGAGGGGCACGGGGGAAGGACTGCATGGAGGGGATTGTAACCATGGCAATGAGATGATATACGAAGGAATGAATGTAAAAGTAATATTCTCCCATGTAAACTATCACATAATTCACAATAAATCATTTAAAAAAAAAAAAAACCTTATGTAAATATACTATACAGAATAGGTCAACATATAACTTGTCTTTCATATACAACATTAGCTTATGAAATTTCTATAGAATGAAATATACATCTCTAATTAATCTATTTTAACTGTTATAAAATATCCCATTACAGGACTATACCATTATTTATCTTCTGTATATTAGAACATTTGGCTTTCAAATCTTTATGGGAATTTTGACTGAAAATTATTATCTTTAACTATCCAGCCTTTAATGTTTATTACATAAAATTCCATTTATTTGAATCTTTTCTTGTTTTTAAATAGTCATTTCATTGCAATACATAAACTTAAAACTTAAACCAGAAAAAGATACATTACTAACAACTATAGGAATTAAACAGTTTATTTAAGGTTATATTATAAACAATTTTATGCCAACAAATTAACAACTTAAATGAAATGGACAAATTCTTAAAAAAGACATACATGCCAAAATTAACTCAAGAAGAAATATGAAATGTAAGTAAGAAATTTAAGACACTGAATTAATAAACTTTTCAAACAGAAAAGCCCAGATACAGATAACTTCAATGGTGAAATTTATCAAATATTTAGAGAAAAAATCTTTCACAAACATTCAAAAAAATGAGTAGACACTTCCTAACTCATCCATGAGGCAAATGCTACTCCAGTACTAAGCCAGATAGAGAGACATCACAAAAAAGAAAACCAAAATGCAATTATCTTCATAAACACAGAGGTAATAAATCTTTTAATAAATTACTACTACAGTATAACAAATTACTTAATATGGCCCTCCTAGCTATAGTCTTTGAACCTTTCACCAAATGACTGGGTAAACTATGCAAATGAGGTATTTGTAGCCTACCCAGAGGATCAGACAGCTTGGTAATAATGTAAGTAAGGTACAGTTGTGAGGATGGGGCCATGCAAATAAGGTGTATAAAACCCCAGTGAGAGCTACCTAAAATGTGGGGGCGATAAAAGCACGAAGTGACTGGCTTACAAGTTTTCAAGAGGGAGCTTAATTTAAGAGTGTGCAGGGAAGACAGAGTCCCCACTGAATAGTTTTCATCTTATCTAGATGGGTCTGGTGAAAAGAGATAGGGATAAGATTCTTATGATTCAATAGGGAGTAATTGTTACGACTAATTGTGACTGTTATAGCTGTAAAGGTAGAAGTTTTATAACAAAAACTGGGGAGTAGTTAATCTTACAGTCTAGATACAGAGTACCCTAGGACCATCAAGGGAGAACAGCACAAGCAGAATGCGGGACCTTATCCAGAGAAGCAACGACACCAGAGATGGAGGCAGAGATGAGGACATGGAGAGATGGAGCAGCCGACGACTCTAGACTCATAGAAAGACAGGGACTGAGTGCTGGCAGTAAGGAGATAAGCTTGCAGAATGTTCCCTTTGTTTGTTTAAATTATTATATATTTCTGAGTGTTTTTGTGTTCATCTCCCCACCCCCCAACTCCCTACCCTACCCCCCAAAAAACAGGGAATGGAAGCAAATACTGTTGAATGATGATGCATGGAGGAGATTGTAATCACTGCAATGAAATGATGGTGTAAAGCCGATGTTTTCCCATGTAAACCATTACTCAGTTCGCAACAAAAAATAATAATAATTTTAAAAAACTCTAGTGAGGAAATTAGTCAGGTTTGTCCTCCCACGAGATGTACAAAAAAGCCAATCCCAGAGTACTGGGCAGGTAGGGGAGGATCTGACTATACCAAGGAGCAGAGACAGAAGCAGAATGCCTCTTTTGGACCTGGGGTCCATGTGCTGGAAACCTAGACTCAAGAGACAGAGAGCTGTAAAACTGGAGACAGTGAAAGTGGCTGAGAAATGGCAGCAACAGAGGCAGAACATCCAGGAAAGCAGCAACAGATGGTGCGCTTCCCAGCCCACGGAGCAAGAGGGCAAAGTCTTCAGGTAAGTGGCTTGCTGATATATAGTAGGGTGCCTCTGGGCACTTAGTGAAGCTAGTCTCTCCAACCCAAGAGTGAGAGGGTTGAACGCCTTCCAGCCAGTGGAATGTAGTGCCTTTGGGCACTTATCAACAGAGCTCTAAAGAGCTTTGTATCACTTCCTTCCAGAGCACAGGCCAGGCTGACAGAGGCAGCAGGTGGCAAGGATCAGAGAGAAGCCTGTCTGTGGGTATAACTGAGAAAAGTCTATCCTGATTAAATAACTGTATCCTAAGTCACTTTTGATCCTGAATTGTAACCTGCTATTTCCCTAATAACAATATTGGTATTGGCCATTTTGAATCAGACTATCATGATTTACTATGCTGGGAATGACAAATCAAAGAGAAATGGCATCCTATTCACTGTCAAAAAGAGAGTTTCAGATCTATTTTGAAATCCAATGCTGTCCATGATAGTGTAATATCCAGTCAAGAAAGACCAGTTAATACCAGTATTATCCATATTTATGTACCAACCACTAAAGCTGTTGTTATTAAGTGCTGTCAAGTCATTTCTGATTAATAGAGACCCTGTATTGGGTTTCTGAGGAGCAGACAATGACTTTGAGCCTCTGACCTTACAGTTCAAACCGACGTTGTGATCCAGTGCTTATCTTACAGCATCCCACCAGGACTCAATGATAATGAAATTAAAGAATTTGACCAATTCTTCAGTTTGAAATTGATCAGATATGCAATCAATATACACTGGTATTTACTGGTAACTGGAAAGCAAAAACTAGTAACAAAGATGCAAGATCAGTTTTTGCACATTTCATTACAATACCTGACTTTGTCTTTTTAAGCTATCATTTGAAATTTTCTGTTCAGCTCTTTTAATTTCATTGGTGATAAAAAATGATGCTGGAGATCGCATGATAAGACTTTTGCTAGACCAACAACTTATTCACTGAAATTCATTGTTTAAATAACATAAAAGGCAACTATATACATGGACCTCACCAGAAGGAATACACAGGCATCAAATTTACAATATGTATGAGAAGAGATGATGAAAAAAATATCAGCCAAAACAAGGCCAGGGTCACATTGTGAAACAAACCATCAACTGCTAATATGCAAGTGCAGGCTGAAGCTAAAGAAAATTAAGACAACTCCACAGAGCCAAAATATGACCTTGAGTATATCCCACCTGAATTTAGAGACCATCTCAAGAACAGATTTGATGTATTAGACACTAATGAACGAAGACCAAAGGAGGTGTGAACGACATTACGTTGTTGTGGACATCATACATGAAGAAAGCAAAAGGTCACTAAAAAGAAAGAAAGAAAGAAAAGACCAAGATGGATGCCAGAAGAGACTCTGAAACTTGCTCTTCTTGAACATAGAGACCTAAAGCAAATGGAAGAAATATGGAGGTAAAAGAGCTGAATAGAAAACTTCAAAGGACAGCTCAAGAAGATAAAGTATTATAATCAAATGTGCAAAAATATGGAGTTAGTAAACCAAAAAGAAAGAACACACTCAGCATTTTTATTCTGGTGTGATGCTACAAATAGGCACTAGACTGCTAACTACAAGGTCAGTAGTTCAAACTCACCAGGTGCTCCTTGGAAAACCCTATACAGGGCTCACTATGAGTCAGAACCAACTCGAAGGTGCTTAACAACAATCATTTATTTCAAATGTGAAAAATATATTTTAATGACTTACCAATACTATGAAATTGCCATCGCTGATGAATTCTTTCTGGAAGAAGCTGTAAAATTTTCTGAAAAAAAAAAAATCAACAAATAAAACGAACAAAAAGCAAGTGATGAGTTCACATCTTATAAATAAGAAAAGAGTAACAAAAGCAATGATTAACCCCTTAATAATTCCTTATATGTTATAAACATATAACAGTCTTTAGCTAATTTTATATTGTTGGTATTATTTCAGCAGAGCCACATTGATCAGTTTTGTAAACCCCAGAAAATAACAACCAACATCAACAAAGAATTAGAGAAGAAAATGAATAAAATTTATCATTTATAATGATATAAAAATTAAGTGCATTTCTCCTGAATGACAAAACATTAACTGTAATATTTTTTTTAAATGTTCATTTACTATCCATAGAATTTCACAGATATCACTGGTATTCACTTCTTGCTGATATTAACATTTTCTTTCTTCAAGCAGTTCATTTTTCTGTTTTGATATACCCAGGGGGAATATTTTTATTTAACACAAATCCAAACAAGTATCTTATATTGTGATTAATTCATATAAGCTCAGAAGTATTTACATATACAACAGATACAAGTATGAGAGCAAAATTTTAAATTTTAAGCACCCAAGAATTAAGTTTGAAGTCTCTAGGTGGTATAAATGGTTGACATGCTTGTCTGCTAACCGAAAATTAGGAAGTTTTAAACCACCCAGAGACACCTCAAAAGATAGGTTTAGAAATCCAATTCTGAAAAGTGAGTCACTGAAATCCTATGAAGCACTGTTCTACTCTGACATACATAAGGTTGCATGAGTCAAACCAACTGGACAGCAACTGGTAACAGATATAGTTAACATATAACAAACCAAACCCACTTCATTGAGTTGATTCCAACTCACAGCAACCTGTATAGAAATTCCACAGAGTTCTGGTATGGCAATGTAGGATAAAGCACTGGACCACATGGTCAGTTTGAACAGCATGGTCAGCAGTTCAAATCCACCAGCCACTCCTTGGAAACCCTATATAGAGTCACTATGAGTTGGAACCGATTTTACAGCACTTAACAAGAAGACAGGGCTTCCAAGGCTAGAAATCTATAGAGAGCAGAAAATGGTATTTTATTTCTGAGGAGCAGCTAAGTGGGTTTGAACTGCCAAACCTATAGTGTACCACAGGATTTCTTGTTAACATATATAGGTTTCTATTAACTGATGAGAGAAAAAAAAAACCACTCAGCATATCGTTGTTGTTGTTAAGTGCCGTCGAGTTGGTTCTGACCAATAGCAACCCTGTATAGGGTTTCTGAGGAGCAGCTGGTGAGCTTTAACTGCTGACCTTACAGTTCAAATGGCTTTGCAGTCTTGCACATTAACCCACAGCGCCACACCAGTACTCCACTCAGCATATAACACCTTTAAATTTTGCCTCTAATTACATTTACTACTGCATTTGGGAAATATTCAAGATTATTCTAAGTCAACAGTTGCCTTATTGCCTAATTATGATCTCATAATTACATGTTACTTAATGACAATTGTGTATATGTGTTTGTACACATGTGCAGTGTCATTACTGTTGCTTTTAAATGATGTGCAGCAATCATTAGCAACTGCATGTTCCTAGAACCAAGTACTGAACTAGACATTTTATGCAACAGTATCTCATTAACCTGGTACAATGGGTTCATTATTAGTTTGTTACCTGTAACATCAGCACTCAAACCCACAGCTACTCAATGGAAGATGAAGCTGTCTACTCCCATAAAAATTTAGTCTTAGAAAACTGAAAAAAGAGCAAATTCTAATCCACTGTCTTATTGGGTCACTATGAGTCAGAATCAGCTCAATGGAAATGGTTCTGGGTTTGGTTTTAACTGGAAAAAGCATAACTTATTTGCCACCACCACCACCCCATGTGTCTCCCATATCTAGCCAGAATTATATACAATTATTTTAATTTTGATTTAGAAAAGAGATGAAATTATAAAAAATTAGAAAAGACAAGTTTGTAAAATACTCAAAAACACTCCCAATTTATGACTACTATGGCGGTGGTAGGGAGTCCTGGTGTGGCGCTGTGGGTTAATGCACCAGACTGAAAAGCCATTTGAACTGCAAAGTTGGAGGTTCAAGCTCACCAGCTGCTCCTTGAAAACCCTATACAGAGTCACTATGGGTCGGAACTGACTCAATGGCACTTAACAACAACAACAACAATGTGGTGGTAGAGGTGGTGATGTACCATGGAGTCGAATCCGACTCACAGCGATCCTACAGAGGGTTTTCAGAGACTTTATGGAAGCAGAAAGTCTCATCTTTCTCTTGTATAACTACTACACATACTTACAGTTTATAAACTATATACAATTAAAATTAAATACTATATTTAAGAGTACTTAAGAGAAGAAATCCTTCACAAACTTTCAAAAAAACTGAGTAGGGAATAAATACTTCCCATCTCATCCAGGAAGCAAATGCTACTCTGATACTATACCAGATATAAACGTCACAACAAAGAAAACCATAGAGTAATATCCTCATGAACACAGAGGCAAAAATCGTTAACAAATTATTACTACACTACAATGAATTACTTAATATGGCCCTCCTAGTTATAGTCTTCAAACCTCTCACCAAAACTATGTTTACCCAAAACTATGCAAATGAGGTATTTGTGGCCCAAGAGGATTGAATAGTTACTATTTCTAACGCTTTCTATCTCTAATGCTTAAGACTTTCTAATTTTAGCTGTGACTAAATCAATAGTTAAAAGAGTTTTCAATCAAGTTGTTCATATTATTCTAAACTGTATCAAAACACTCAACATACAAAACAATGAATTATCTTAATCAGCAGAAGGTAGAATAGTTTAATATTTAGACTCTGATTTCCAAATTCTTTCTTAAGCCTTTCAAGTTACAAAGTCTGTGACTGACTTTCTACAGGTCTCTAAATCCTCAGCAAAAATCAGAATGCATCTATTATAATTTACTCTGAAAGAGAAAACATAGAACAAGGAGCTATTTTAAAAAGCAAGAAAGGGTCTTAATTATTATCAGTGTGCCAAAATACATAATGATGAACTTTAACACAGCATATAAGTTTTTGCCCAAGTCGCTCCTGAACTTCTGATAATTTACCAATAAAAGCTTGCCCCATTCCAATCCAAAGCTAATACAGAATATCAATTTTTTAATGTTTTAAGAAATTTTATATAAGTTTGTAATCAAAAGTGGTTAAAACAACTAAAACTTCCTTTGACATATAACATTTCCTTTATCCTCTCAGAAAGGAAAAAGAATGTTTTAGAATTAAAAAGAAAATTTTCCATTTGTGCAAACCTTCCATGAAATTAACTTGTTTGCAAATGCATTAAACATCACACTAATTTTGTGATGTCAAATGCATCAAAACATGAATCTAACTGAAATTTAAAATAATACCTTATGCTTCAAAATTACGAGAGCTAAATCAAGAATATTTATGTCAGTTAATGAGTTAGATTTTATTCTTGAAGAAGATAGCAGATTCAGCGTTTCATTAAATGCTTTATGATTTCAATATATTCCTATATATGTTACAAGAACTATTTTTTGAAAAAAAATTTTTAGATCAGATACTTACCTCAAAAATAAAAAGTATAGCATCCAATTCCTCCCTCTGAGATTTATGACCTAAAACATTTTTACAGAAAAGCATTTTAAACATTTCATTTGTTTCTCATAATTAATAATCACCCTATAATAAGCTTATAATATTTCAAGCACTGAAATGCTTTTTCAGTAATCTTTAGTAGAATGTTTAAAGCACATTCTGTTCATTATGCTGTTGTAGTTGTTAAGCACCAACAGGTTGGTTCCGACACTACCTAGGGTTTCCGAGGAGCAGCTGGTGGGTTTCAATGGCCAACCTTGTGGCTCAAATCAATTTTGCGGTAGGTACATAATTCTGCAGTACCACACCAGGGCTCCATTATGTAGATAATATCATATATCCCTCTCTTTACTCTTTTTTTTTTTTTTAACAGCTTGTAACAAAACTTTTATTAGAAAAGTTGTATAACATAGCTTTACTATTTTCAAGAAAAATATTAAACCCAATAAACAATAAAAACCAGACTAACAACATGTGTAACAAGAAACTAATGACCTTTCTATAATCAAACATTCAATTATCTACAATGTCTTTTTACAAAGGGGAAAATCCATGGTTTACAGGCACATCATATTGAAAATAAAGCTGCAACAGCAATTTTATATAATTACCATTGTATAAAATTAAATTTAGAGCCTATGATGTTTAAAAAGAATTCATGATGTTAACGAAGGGGGAACAACTCAGAAAAGGAGGGTGAGAATTACTATACAACTTGAAGAACGTAATCAATGTCACTAAACTATACATGTATAAACTGTTGCATCAGTACCTTTTCCTGTGTAAATTCTCAACTACAACAACAACAAAAAATTACATGAAATATTTTAAATAATTTAAAACTCTTAATAGGAAAATGAGTACTCAAACCTGAACATGCTTCTATGAAACAAGAAAGGTGGTGAAATAAGGAAGCAGGTTAATCTAATCAGGGGAAAAAAAAAACCATACCAAATCTTCTAAGCTTATTCAAAGTAACCCATTAGTTGTCTCACAAATACATGTGACTAGACTTATGATTATAATGAGAGAAATATCTAAAAGCTACCTGTCAAGAAGAAATGAAATAATGAATTCCAATGTTCAAGAACCTCTTTAAATAATGTTTGGGTATATATATACCCTTTGTTGGTTGATGATGCATGGAGGGGATTGTAACCATGGCAATGAAATGATATACAACAGGAGGAATGTAAAGCTAAAGTTCCCATGTAAACTATCACATAATTCACAATAAAACATTTAAAAAAAAAGTTAATGCTTGTGGAAACTAATTCAAAGCATAAAATCAGGATAGATTTCTACGTCTTACCTTTCTGTTTAAGACTTGCTTCAATTGTCACAAAGTTTTCAAAGAATACATAATATATATGTGAAAAATGTTGGTCAAAAAATTGTTTAAGATCGATAGACTCTGCATTCTCTGAAAAATAAAATAATTTTTAGTGATTACTATATCAAACCATATTAAACAAAAACATATAGGCAACATTCTTATTAACAAAAAATAAAATAAATATTCCCCAAATCCTACTAAATATATAAAATATTTGAAACATACTTTTACACCTATATCTTTGTCATCTCAACTTTAATATTTATAGTTTAACTCTAAAAGCTGTTAAGTCATGCCATCACTATTGTTCTTTCCTAGAATAAAGTAATGTCTCAGAGACTCATTTAAAATATCTATAAAGTAAGAGGTCAAGTTCTATTTTTAATTCCCATCTACACCTTTCCTAAAGGAGCTCTGGTAGCGTAGTGGTTA